CCGGCCCCGGCAGCCGGTGGCCAGCGCGGCGGGCAGGGGCCGCTCCCGCGCTCTCTCCTCTCCCAGCCGTGGCTCTTCCCCAGCGAAGCTGGCGGTGACCTGCCTCCGCCCGGCCAGAGCAGGGCTAGGGAAGGCTGCAGCTGCCCCGCGGAATATCCTGCCAGGTAACCGAGTCAAGGCACTGATCGACCTTCTCGCTGGATGACCTGCAGCCGGCTGTCTGCTGGACAAACCTCTGTCGTTTTACTTAATGACACTAAACCCTGTCAAAAGAGACCTCGTGCCATTAAGCTTCCTCCGGTCTGTGATCAGATATTCAACATTAACTCCAACACGGCCTGCGATCAAATATTTAACATCAAATCCAACGAAGTTACCTTTGACAGCAACATACAAATACTGAACAGCAGCCTGAAGCATTGTGGCCATAGAAAAGCTAAAACCACGAAGCTACCTTTTCTCCTCGTCAAAGAGCAACTCATTAGAGGGTATTTGAACAGCTTTCAAAATTCTTCACCTCAAAGCCTCACGGGAATTATTTATCAGGGGACAGGACTCAGCCAAGCAGAAACAAAAGAATTTGACCTCAGCTGCTCCACGGGCTAGAAACTAGCCTGGCTGAAGTCGGGGTTTCCACAGATCCTCCCACTCCCTTTCTCCTTGCCACACGAAACTCTGCTCAGGCAGTGTCAGGGTAGCAGAGAGGAAAATGCAAAACGTTTGGCTCTGGAAGCCTGGTTTGCGAAATAAGCCTGGCTTCAAGGTTTTGCTAAATTTACAGCTTTAGTTCTTGGGGAGGGAATGCAGAATAGAAGGACCTGAGAAAGGATGAAGGAAGTGACTGACCAAGTCACAGGAGTTACATGAGAGGTCAGACAGAAGAACAGGCACATCGTTCACTTCCTCCCCCCCCACCCTATTAGGAAAAAAAAAAATTGAGACAGATTCCAAGCAATGTATGTATTCGTTTCAGATTTCTGAAGGGCAAGAACTGTCTAGATAGATTTAAACTTTAAAGGACAGATTTGTGAATGGACAGACCAAGATCACTCAGGTTCCCCACGGAGGCAGAGAGCTGGAAGCTTCCATCAGCAGAGGAGCAAGGGCCGAAGGGGCAGGAGCAGCCACGGCGCGTTCACGTAATCCGGGAAACCCTGGCAGGTGCACAAGGACTACAGAAGCTTAGCAAAGCTTATCTCCTTAGTCTGAAACACACTTCGCACATTTGACGTGCCAAAGCCTTTAATAAAATATCACAATAAGCTTTTTTATGATTTGTCCTCAACCAAAATGAGTATGAATTCTACATTTAATATTAAACCATGAAAGTATAACAGGTCCAAAACGTAGTGCTTTATTACAGGTCTTTTAAATACATTTAAATACAGTGTTAAGTTACAGTTAATTAAAAAATTAACCTTTTCTATAGAGAATTTAACTATGGTATTTTTATTAAAAATAACAAAAACTGGTCATAAACTTTAATGTTGAATTTTTAGAAAAATCCTGTTTTAATACAACTCCATTGGTGCAGATTTCAACGAGCTGTAAAGAAAATATAAAAATCCTCAAGTGAAAAAAAATCCCTAAGTGATTTAAGTAAAATGTTAACTTCAAATAACAAAGCTCTTCCTTGTTGATGGTGCTCCTGGCTGCTCTATACTTTCCACATTCTTTTTTTCTCTCTAGCTTTTCCTTAAACCGTTGCTCAAAGTATTTTTCTTCTGTACCCCTTTCTCTCTCCTGCTCTTCCTCAATCTGCTTTATGTTCATTTCCTTTCCAGGATGCTAATATTAAGATTTCATTTTTATTCACCAGTAGTTTCTTGATCAGATTAGACAAGGGACTTTTAAATTGTGGTAATAAAGAACCAAAACAGATACAAGAATTTCATATTACCTCTGTTCTGCCCCATATTTCATTGCCAAAGTCTTCTGCATAAATCTCATCATCATCAAGAAGTTGTCAAAAACTGTGCCAGCTCTCACCTTTGAAGGAATAGCAGGGGGAAAAAACCAAGGATGTCTCTTTGTTCTCTTAAAGATGTTGTTGGGGTTTTTTTTAAACAATACGTTTGTATCATATATTCAATATAGAATAATCATATCAAGAACCCCATAGGTTTTTTACAGAATTTGATGAAGGATTCTCTGGTTTTGGACAACCGTTTTCAAGAATCTAAAGAACCCGTTTTAACTTTAGGCACACTTTATTGCTCTTCCACGTTTTAAGTCTCATCACTGGCTTGTCAAGCAACCTGAGAGAGAGGCACCCCAGAGGGCAGTTTTCTCCTCATTTAATCTCTGGGTAACTCAGGAGTAACTGAGCTGCTGGAGGCCTCAGTCATGCACCTCAAGTCAGGTGAAATTAAGTCATATTTTACAACACTTAGAAAAATTAGCTTAGGCACCTCACCTGCAGATGTTTATCATCCATAATTATATAAACAAATAACAACTTCAGCGGAAGATCAGTGTGTCTTACAGACTTTTCAATTTGTACACTTATTTAAATAAGAGCAAGTTAAACACATAGGTCCCTAAAACACCAAAACAACAGAATGTTTCTATGCAAAGGGTAAACAGGTTGCTATATACTCAGGGAGAGAAAAGTTCTTTTTTTTTCCAGTAAAGGCATCTCACCTGCTAGATACCTAGTCCAATGATGCTAATGTTTTCATAGCTGTAGATACTGAAGTCTGGTGAGTAATTTGGATTGTCAGTCTGTGGATGAGGCCAAACTCCTCTATAATTTGGGTTATCAATCTGCCTTGGTTTCCATTCCCTCCAGGATAAACTGATATTCTGAAGAGTCAGGCAAAGAAAAGCTGCTTAAAGTGTTACCCATAACTAGGATATGAGATTATTTATACTCTGTATAGAGGATTCTTGACCATAGGATAATGCCATTCTCCATTCACAGCATCATCCCAGTCTTCAGATTTCCCAGCACTTGTGTCCATAACATATTCAGGTTCATCCCAACCCTGTAAAAAGACACAGGAAGATTTGGAAAGCAAAACTAGTGCAAGAGTTCAACTTTATCAAACATGTACCCAGTAGAAATGAAATAATCCAGTAACGCCAAACAAGGACAGCAAAATACCTCTGGTTTGATGTCATTTGGATCATCAATTTGCATTTGATCATCCCAGTCAATGGGTTTCCTCACTGTTGGATCATTAATTTTTCTCAGTGGCAAAAATTCTAAGTCATCTTCTAATTTGCCAGATGCAACCATCTCATTATCAATGTTTACTTTGTAAGTCTGATCTGGCCTTAGAATCAAAGTATATAGGTGTGTATATCTGTCAACCTGGGTTTTAAAGAAAGCAAGTACAATTTTTAAGCACCTTAAGAACTCTTGGGAACTGCCTCGCACCAGAATTTTAATGCTAATTTCTAATGGATTTTTCATAAGCAGTATTAAGAAAAAAATAATTCCCAAAGTCTCCTAAAGGAGGAAAATAAAATTAATGACATTTTTCATATATATTTTTCTAGTCCTCCCATCTGTGTCTCTGAACAAAACTGAATGATTGCAAAAAAACAATAGTCTATACCTAATTGTCAAGAGGAAGCATCACAAGATTGGCAACAGTTATCAGATAAAGTAATGATTTTAGTTAATATCGAATACAAGTTATTTATATCCTAAACAGCTAAAGCAAAGGCACATAGAAAGGTTTACTACATAGGTTAAAAGCAAAACCATAAAATATATCCAGGATCTTACATTTGTATCACAAGAAAGTGCTCTCCCACTATGAAATGTGGAATTAAAGTTACAATTAAAAATCACAATTACATATACTGCTTAATAACACACAGCACCATCCAATCTTATTCCATACTGTTATCAGGTATTAGGAATTATATTATTAAATCAGATATTTCTTAGTTCGTTATATATTTGTGAAGTCCCAAAATTAACATGACAAAATATGATGAAAAGTAGAACATCTCAAAGGTGTTACACATTTGGAATAGTTGCTTGGGGCTTTGTTTTCGTTTTTATTTCCTAATATCCCTGCAACTTGTTTATTTTAAAGTTTATGTATCTTTTAAATGCGTATTTACCTTGCATCTGATCGCTTTCTTGATTGGATAGGGTTTATTCTTGTGACTTAAAATGGACTTTCTTTGTCTCAGATCCACATATATCTGGTCCTACAAGAGATTATATGCTTTGTATTGTTAACTTCTTTGCAGATAAATATTGTTTACCTTTTCCTTCTAATACTGTTTGATACCTCTCCCATTCCATTCCATTTTTAATGGATGACATGGCTTCTACTTAAAGTCTTAAATCTACCACAGAATTAGATTTTGCGTAGTTGGGAGTTTAGTTCTGATACCGAACCAAACCCAGAAAACAGATATGCAGCCATTATAAAAATTAACTATGCCCACAAGCTGAATAATTATATAATTATATTAGACACATGACAAATTTCACTTTGTCATACAAATGTACAAATTTCACCAAGTCACTGGAAACTACGTACAAGTATATAAGGGCAGATAACAGCCTACATTGTTTTAGTTAAAGGACTTTAAAAAAAAATCCTGCTGAAAACCTACTTTTATTCTAAGCTCATTCCAATCATTTTCAGTTATGTCCTTCAAATCAGCTTAGAATGTTTGCATAAATATGTATTTTCTTAATGCATATTTAGAGATCTCTCAAGCATGGAAGAGCTAACTCCTTACAGCCACAACATCCTTATTTTTTTAATAGAGCCTTCCTTTATGATTTTTCCACAACTGCACAACAGCAGTGACAGTATTTTAGTGACGCAGAAATAACTATAAAAGTTATAGATCTAACTATAAATTACCTATAATTTATAAATTAACTACAAATCACCAAACATGATGTAATAATGTGAATCCCCACTTAGGTTCTTCTGGTCCAAGTCTGAGGAAAAAAAACTTAACATATCCCCCCCCAACAATCTATCTTCTGCTCACCTTTCACAGTATGCCGAGTGATCAGCCTTCCCTTTGTTACTAAATGGTTTAAATCGTGAGGAGATGGCACAAAATTTAGCGTTTTCACTAGTTTGTAAACCTGTAAAGATATAATAGTTGAACTTAAGAGTTTTTTCCATTTGTAGTGAAAACTGCTTTTATTGCCATGTGTGGCACAACTGTAAAGGCAAATCCCCGACTCTAGAGATGGTTCGCGGAGCATCTTTCCACTGAAACCTTTATCTCGCGCTGCATCGCCATAAAACCTCCCTGCGGTGAGTTGAAACCTCCCGGGGTTCGCTTCGTACCCGGACCTCGCCCACCTCCTCTGCCAGCCGCTGCCCGCCAGCAGCTGTCTCT